AGTTTTAAGGCCCTAAAATGTCTCGTGTGCTATCCTTTTGGGTCACCCTTTTTGTCCAGAGGGAAATACCATGAAGTATTTTATCGTGATCCGTCCCTTGACCTTGACGATGTTCGGACATGTTAGAATTGAAAAAAATTTGGAAGTGGCAATGTGTTTTTGGAGAAGCCATTGCCCACGCTTTTGACGATAAACCCTTTCAATCGAAGTCCTGTTGAGCCGCAATTATCGTTTTTATCTCAGGGAAGTAACAGGTCTTCTTTATTGTTCGTTGCGCCGCAAAACTTTATTTCATCTTATTTTCCGAGCTTGAAGCTCCCAGGGAGATTGAAATACCCTGAAAACTTGAATTTCGTGTACTCATTATATTTTTTGGGAAACTGTCTGCAATTTCTTGTCTTGTCGTAGATGTCTCCTTGTTTGATGAGCAGCATGCATTTTTATGAAGACCACAAATTTCATTCATTCAAATTCATTCAAAAGTCTTTTGAAGAAAGCAGCCTAAAGTAAAGGATAGGACTAAGATGGAAAGACAACAGTGAAAGTGAAAAGGGAAAGGACGATGAAGACGACGAAGACGAAGAATGCAAAGGTGAAGGCGACCAGTAGAAACACTGACTGCCGTTCTACATGAAGTCGACGTGTTTCCAGCGTACAGCGAAAGTCCCTAAATGCAAACAGTTAGCTTCATCCAATCGTTTTTCCGTTAATCTTTGTATAGTTTCATTCCCAAGCACCATGATCATACTGATGCTCACCAATAGATTTTTCTAATGAAGAATTCCTGGTGTATTAAAATTGGATTGAACTATGAACATGCGTTGTACTTTGAAATTTCCCTTTTTTCGCAACATTACGTGAAGTCAAGTTAAACTAGTTTGATAAACTTCGTGCGAAAATGGACGGAAGAACTGGCACATATGATTTACTGCGCGAACGGTTTGCTATGCAATGTGACGAAAGGAGGTATCGTGATTGTTTTTGAGTCAACCGTAGATTATTTTTCAAAAATGTGGAGTAAGAAGGTTTTTTTGATTAAGTAGCTCTAATAAATAAGGAAAAACGAAGAACACTATTGCAAAATTATGAATTATGTGACCAAATTATGCACTGTATGTTATGTACCCGAGGGCGGAGATGAAGTACGGGCAAGTGGCGCGCTATCACATACCTATAGTCACGGATCGGAAACCCGGATCGATATCCGCCTAAGTCAAGCAAGCCTTCCATCTGTTTGATGATGGTCAGTTGGTCGCAAATTCAAATTATTGAGAATGATTCAGGTGTTGTTTTAAACATTATATTACACTATCCTTTTTTATATAATTTGCTAACTGTACTTGTGGAACCAAAGAAATGAATGGCAGATTACGGATTAGGATTACGTTACGATTACGACAGACGCACGGACGATCGGTGGACCAGTCGCATTACATTCTGGTACCCAGGTGAGCTTAAGCGCGCAATTGGCCGTCCTGCAGCGAGATGGAGTGATTCACTAAAAAACACTGACATTGACCAACACTGGTCCCAAACCGCTCAAGATCGTGAGAAATGGAAGGAAAGGTGTGCTCGCCGCTGAGGATTCGCAGTCGACAACGAGCGTCCGAGTATCCAAGTAAGTAAGAAGTAGGCAAGTAATTAAGTAAGTAAAAGTGTGTCGGTGTTTGTGTTTGACCGGAATTTCATAAATCCTGTCCCATGGAACTAGAGGGTTCGAATTTTGCATGAGTAAGGGGACAGAATGGAAACACTCATTGCAATCAACAGGGCCAGACTTCGCCTATGGGGTGTGGGGCACGCGCGATAGAAGTTTCGGACCGCAAAATCATAACTCCTGTTTACGTGAACCCTGAGCGTCAAAATTTGGTAGGATTACAAGCGACAGGATGGATATAGTCCCGGCAGGTAGCAAGACAAGACTCCACCCACAAGGGTGGGCGTGCGACGGTTGAGCGGGAATTCACACCTCCTGTCCCCTAGACCTCGAGAAATTTGGTAGGAGTACAGTTTTCCTATTAACAGCGGGACCTTGGCATTTGAATAAATGATGTAGAATATGACGGGATCGCAGGTACCCAGTGATGGGAATCGATAGTAAACAATGGGAGAAGATAAGGGGCCTAAAAGAGCTGGAATCACCTACCGATCAAAATTCTAAGGCCTTCGGTATTATCGAAGCTACTTTCACTGTTTAGTATGTTTCATTCGATAATAGGGATGGTAGAGTAGGTTGACAAAAGTGAGTGGTCAGTACAGTGATGGGGACCCATTGCGGCACTACGATAAGCTGATGAGAATTCTGTGCATTTCTTTATATTAGATTACGACCGCTACCCAGCAAGGTGTGTAACTCGATGAAATATTCTCTTCGATCGATATTACTTGTAACAAACCTAGTCGACCGTCAGTAATAAGGAATTCTCAACTAGTGATATCTCCGTAAAGGAGAAGGTTCATCGATAACGACATCTGATAGTGGTGTTATCATCATTCGAAACATTCGTTAGAACAGCCCAAAATTTGTTTGCCTGACAGATGAATCCTTACTGGGTATTTATTTTTGAGAAAGAGAGGAAAATATTGAGAACTGCAACTAAAGGCGTAAGCACCGACATACAATGAGTACCATTTGCACTGCCCTGTTAGTCCTGTGTCAACTTCGTGACGAAATTATTATTTGTCCCAACGAAGGAGTGGAGAGTTGGCTGATTACCACAAATTCATCAAAAAGAGAGGAAAGCCCGGCATAGCTTGGCGATACGACTGTTTATTATATTTGACTTGCGGAATATCCTCATGCCGCAAAATGCTCAGCTTCAGCATAGGCGATATTGGCTGACCGGCTTATGGGTCCGGGAACTTCTCCCTTGTCACGGCGTCGCACACGCCGCGTACCGCAGGATTGCGATGGAAGATTGGAGCGCACAATTTGTGAGGTGGGGAGTCCTTTAATTATTTGAATTGGCTGACCGCTTTCTTCAATTTCAATGCAGTCTTGATCGCCGTTTACATAAGGAAAGTCATTTTAATTAATCAAGTCTAATAAACATGAAAACGAAGAAGAAACAGAAGAAAAAACGATCAAATTCAATAAAAAAGCAAGGCAATCAACGAAAAATATCGCGTCCTATCGATTGGCGGGAGGCGGGGTGAGTACGGTAATTGCAGTGACATTCGCCGCATGGCGCAAGGGAGTATGCCGCGATAGGGGAGAAGTTCCGTTACCCCCGGCTTATCACACTGTACGCAAGAGTGAATATAATAAGCGGGGGCCGATGAGCCATTGAGAAAACGAGGGCGAGCGAGATCTTGGCTGAGTAGAAGATTTGTCCTCAACCCGCCATGCACAAGTGAAACTTTCGCATCGTGCCACCTCCCAAAATTAGAGCTGGTCACAATAACCTAATGTCGAAACAACTTATATCCCCATTTCACTCCCTTCCACGAGGTTTTTCACTCTGACCTAGCCAGATTGTCTACCCTAGTACTGAACTACGAACTACACGGTAACATAAATCACTGGGAATTCTTTCGGCGATGGGTAATGTGAATCCTCCAAAATCAAACTTTTTAGGAGATGGTACGGAGAGCCATAAGTAAAGATACATTGTGACGACTTGGGCACTGTGTAATGTGAATCAGATGGGAAAAACCAGAAACCTAACGGTAAATCAGCCCAACCGGTTCGAGCTCACCAAGTGGAAACCCCGAAAGAACAAATTTAAGGGTCATCGCCGCTTCGCTCACCTGTCATTTCAGGAAATTAGGAATAGAATTGATCAAGAAATGTATGGAGTGCAAGTAAGACGATAATGCGTTCCTTAAGATGAAACAACCATCTTTCCTGTAGGAGAAGCTATTTTGCTATTTTCGCATGCTTCTGTGAAAATTTGCACGTTATTCTGAGGCCTATACGTGTACATGAACGAGCTGCTACCATTTCAAGCGAATACTGGGTCTCAGTGATCAGCTCGTATTGCTACTACTACCACTACTACTACTACTTATTATTATCATTATTATTGTTGTTATTATTATTATTATTATTATTATTATTATTATTACTTGTTATTAATTTCGTTGTGAATGACCTCAGTATAGGGAGGTCGGAAGAAAAGCAATGGCAAGTGGCGTGGTTGATTGATACTAGACTCGTCTGGAAGTATAAAAGCGCTGGCTTGAACATGCTGAACACCACAAGTCATTGTATTGTCCACACACGCATTCAACACGCCACTACGATTTTGAACGGAAAGCGAATGCCGGGGCGCATCTCCCTTACGGGATTGACCAAAACCCGAAAAAATTATCCTCTAATATAGGGCGGTATCAATAGTTCGTGAGATGACATCGTAAAAAGCTTATAAATAAGCTCATAGAAGCACGTCTTCTTCCAAACATTCAACTAGTGGGCCACCCAGTAGTTGATTGTTTGGAATTGGGCGTAACTAAGTGAGCCGTACGTCGCTCGCTGGTTTCTTCTGTTGAAAAACAGAGACTGAGTTTGCTGCACGTTTGGCAAACTTACCGCTACTTGACTTCCCAGCTCGGGGTCCTCGGATTCGACCTAGCCCAAGTCTATTCGCTGAGACTATAAAGGCAGAGGTACTAGTATGTACATGCAGTTAGCGTCATATAAATTTATTATAGGAAGATCACTCTTGATTGATCTTTTCGAAAGATAAAGAAGACGTAAGTGCGGAAGGGATTCCGGAGAACCGAGCCCCGTAAACGAATAAAGATCAGGAAGGCCGTTTCTACGCCAAGAAGTCCCAGGTAGACTGAACCTGTTACGCGATATTGTAATGGACGTAGAAAACAGAGTGGTCCTCTCTAGCCGTAAAACGAACGCCAGGACGGTCGCTAACGCTGTGGTCATACATCCTCATTAAATCTCCAAACGAAGGCCATACCCTTGAACGAAAGGAGTGCTATGTCTGGAGTCTTCGAAGGGTGACGATTCATTGTATTGTCCTGGGTAGCGGTAGGGACGAGTGAAGAAAAGTGGGTGTGGTGTAGTAGAATCGGATTCGTCTNGAAAGCGAATGCCGGGGCGCATCTCCCTTACGGGATTGACCAAAACCCGAAAAAATTATCCTCTAATATAGGGCGGTATCAATAGTTCGTNCCCAGCTCGGGGTCCTCGGATTCGACCTAGCCCAAGTCTATTCGCTGAGACTATAAAGGCAGAGGTACTAGTATGTACATGCAGTTAGCGTCATATAAATTTATTATAGGAAGATCACTCTTGATTGATCTTTTCGAAAGATAAAGAAGACGTAAGTGCGGAAGGGATTCCGGAGAACCGAGCCCCGTAAACGAATAAAGATCAGGAAGGCCGTTTCTACGCCAAGAAGTCCCAGGTAGACTGAACCTGTTACGCGATATTGTAATGGACGTAGAAAACAGAGTGGTCCTCTCTAGCCGTAAAACGAACGCCAGGACGGTCGCTAACGCTGTGGTCATACATCCTCATTAAATCTCCAAACGAAGGCCATACCCTTGAACGAAAGGAGTGCTATGTCTGGAGTCTTCGAAGGGTGACGATTCATTGTATTGTCCTGGGTAGCGGTAGGGACGAGTGAAGAAAAGTGGGTGTGGTGTAGTAGAATCGGATTCGTCTCGTTGAGACGAGAGAGACGCCGCGCGAATGAGTGCAGCAGAATGCAGTAGCAAGTAAGAATTTCATGAACAAAAGAATCAACATTAGAATCATGCTAAAAATAATAATCGAATATCGGTTGAGCTGTTTAAAACGCAAGAATTGTGATAACGAGGTGATTGGTCCACGACTTCCGCGCGAATCGATTACATAAAGCGATCCTACTGCCCGTCTCCCAAGAAACGTTACTGGTACGCGCTGGAGAAAATCAGCGAGGCGGCAGGTAACCTTAATGAAAATTTATATTACAATTACTCTATTTAATAAAAGATTCATGGAATCGTTGCAGAAGTAAAGCGATGTAATGTAATAGGAAACATTGAAGAAAATAAAATATTCAATGTGAAATCTTCAATCTTGGTTTCTTCAATCTAGGTTCTATGATTGCAAGTAATCTTTTATGCCATCGCAAACTGCAGTGTGTCCCGAATTTATGGCCTAAATTCAGAAATTTCTAGGGCTGAAATAATCTATCGGGTTCACATTACCTGCTATGAATTAGTTGCATAAAAAGGTTTCCCTGCAATATGCATGGTTACCGATATGCCATTCCTACCGTTTGCAGAATTTTCGCTCCAACTCCGATCTCAACAGACTCTGCAGGGCCGAAAAATGCAGAATAGACCCACTTGAGTGATGACACGCAACCATTCATCGTCTTCTCTGACCAAAAAACTTTTCACGATAAAACTCTCCCTCAGCAACCAAAACGTTCGCATTCCGGAAAGAAACATATGAGGTGCATCTCTAACGAAAAGGTCGCCATTAGAACAGTAAAATTATGTTTTTTGAAGAAGTCACTGGCAAGGGTAAGGCTCGTGGTTTTTTCTTTGCCGGCGTGAAAATTGACCAAGACCAGTACTCAAAGATCGTTTGATGGACATAATAAAATACTGATCCGACTACGTTTTTTAGATGGTCCTTCCAGCGGGACGCTACTCCAGCCCACAGAGCCAAGCTTGCCCGCAAGCAGTGCCGATGACAGCTGCCCGACCTCATCGGTAAAAAGTAATGGCCATCCCATTTTGCAGAACTTGACTCACTTGACTCCCCGTATCTTGCTTTCTAGAACTTCAAACTGGGGCTGCAAACTCGACAGGTCCCTGATTAGAAGAGGACCTGTAGAGTTTGCAGCCCCAGTTTGAAATTCTAGAAAGCAAGACTGAAAAACGGCTGGGAAGAAATGAAGAAGGATATCTGCGTACAACATGCGATCAGGTCAAGAGCAAACTTTGGGCCTCTATCTGCGCAAATGGCGATATTTTGAAATGAGATCGTAGCTTGTTGCAGCAAATGGTGTTAGCTAACGTGCATACAAATTCCATAGTCTTTCGCAGCAGTGAAGCTTCAAATATATTGCTATAAATTGGCGCCCGTAATTTTGGGACACCCTGTGTATACGGTGTACTTGGCTTCACGAATAGTCTTGGGCTAGGTCAAATAGCACCTAAATATTCGGTCTAGCTCAATACTATTCGGATGCCGAGCAGAAAACTAACAAAAGCGGCCACACACTCAATCTCTATTATCCAATGCAGAATATCAGTGGACGCTAAATGAATTACTAAGTCAGGTCACCATCTAAGATCTTTACTTATCGGTTTCTCAAAGCGTGAGGTTCCCTCCGAAAGTCGAGTTTTCCTTGAGATTTTGGAGCCTGAGGAATACTGATCAAAGTTTTTCCTACTTTTTATTCTGTCATCATTTCTCAAATGATTCCGAAGTTTCTTTCTCTACATTGTCCAGTTATATGTTTCTTTTCCATTCCGATTACGATTAGGGTCAAATTCTATACCCAGGTGGTAAAGTGTTGGATTGACAAATATATTTTCTCAAAAGCTTATTCTTCGAAAATTAGTGGGCAAGTCAATCAGTTATATGACATATTCACATTCATGACCTTGTACCAATGCTCCGAAAAACAATTTTTTGATGCTTCTTAAATGGAACCCCTCTTCCTTCTCCCCATTGCTCAGCAGACAGCCTCTGAAGGGGGACTTGATTTTGAAAAAAACGACGGAGATTGACAGTTACGGTTGAACTATCAAACAGCCCAAGAATTTTAAACAAGACCATAGCTGGGCGAACTGTTCATCAGTGGCTTATTTCTTGTCACGAAAAATGTTGAGCGATTCAGTATTTGGTTTCCATGATTGTTGCCGACCCAGCCTCCCACTTGTTCGACGCTATACATTTCAAAAATCGTGAATTTTGAAATAAGTAGGTGTAAAAATATTGCTACTTTTAGGCTATAGATAAGAATAGCTATCACCTTAGGGTCGGGGGCGAAAACGACGTCGCCCCGTCTTCATAAACCGACGATCGGGTTGCACTTGCATGTCGGATTCTTGCCTGAAGAACTGTCGATCGGGTTGGGCTTGCCGATCAGGTCCCTGCCTGAAGAACTGACGATCGGGCTGGAATTGCATATCAGGCCCCTGCCTCAAGAACTGACGATCGGGCCGGAATTGCAGATCAGGTCCCTGCCTGAAGAACTGACGATCGGGTTGGGCTTGCATATCAGGCCCCTGCCTGAAGAACTGACGATCGGGTTGGGCTTGCATATCAGGTCCCTGCCTAAAGAACTGACGATCGGGCTGGAACTGCATATCTGGTCCTTGCCTAAAGAACTGACGACCGGGCTGGAATTGCATATTAGGCCCTTGCCTCAAGAAATGGCGATCGGGTTGTACCCGCATATGAGGTTCTGGCCTGGAGAACTGACGATCAGGTTGTACTCGCACATCATTTTCTTGCCTGAAAAGTGGAAAATTCATTGGGGATTTTAATAGTCATCTTTATAACAAAAACCTTCGGCAGATGTAGAGATTTGGACAAGAGCCAAGAACCACATGTCAATGAACATTCATTTACCTTATCGAGAGGAAAAAAAGAATAAATTGCACAGAAACAAAGTTGGTGAGTCACTCAGGAATGATGGATTATCTCACTGGACTATTGGGTACTGTGGCCGTGCTATAGCCCACATGAAATATACCTATAAGTTGCCCTGCAATAGTTGTCTTTTGCTCGAGAGAAGAGCTCTGTCAGGGCGGGACAGAGAGAAGCGTACCGGTGGGGTCCCGCCAAGGAGGAAATGCCCGTAAGATCAAATACCAAGGAGTCGAGGGTGGTCAAGAGTACTGTAGGTGATCAGTAGTGATCAGGAGGTAGGAGGCTAGAAGGAGTAAACATGCCTAGGGAAAGAAAAGGCACGGGAAAGACCGTATAAAGGGGGAACCTCGAGAGGGAATGGTCGTCTTGTGTTCCACTCCTTCGACCGCCGCCAGTACCCTCACGGAGTTGGCTCCATGCTCGTAAAACCTTGGTGGTGAAAGCTCGGGGTGAACCTTTGTGGTTCGCGAACGAGATAATTAGAGGAAGGCCTCAGTGGCCGGTTCGTCTTTGGTGGGACCCCCCTGGATTCCCTCTGCCCTGACCCTCGGAGGATCTTTGGTTGTACTCTTTTTGATTTTGGTTTTTCCGCATCAGTATTGTATTTGTGTTCGGAGTTTTTTTTTCGCCCACACTCGGAACAAATCACCCGTTCAGTGTAGTTTCTAGTAGGGACCCATACAGCTGTGGCAACCAGCTTTATGTCGAACTTGCCGATGTATTAAAAGGGAGGTCTGTAACCTGCAAATTCTTTACGCGAGTGATTCACAGCAGAACTGGCAGGGCACTGGGTACAGGATAATCATGCGAGAAAGCAGCGTTTTGGATGGGGGTTTAGTTCAATTGATCACTCCCACACTATCAGAAATCCATATATGTTTTACAATAACACAAGATACCCCATATACTTCGATTTGAAATAGCGTCAGACGACAGAAAGAGGCGACACTAAACTTGGACGACCTGTATGTCTCTACCTAGTACATAAGAACACTTCATTAGCTCTACAATCTTTCTGATATAAGCTCTCTCATTTATAAAGCAGAAACTTGATGTGTCGGTTTGTAAGTTTGCCGGTGTGTCGGTGTGTCGGTTTGTATGCTTGTCGGCCTGTCCGTCCGCAACACTTTATGATTACGATAAAGGTAGTGATATGGATAACCCAGCCTACATTCCTCTACATTTCTTCACTTGAAGGCACCGTTTACGATGGACTTAGGGTACCCTTTTTTGACGGGAATTTATAGAACTAGTCTAGAATAAAGCGATAACTACGAAAAAAGCGCAAAAAACGATGTACAAAAAGAAATAGAAAGTGTCAAAAAAGAGCTGGAAAGGGGGGTTAGATGAGTTTCACATTGGAAGAAAGGGGGTTAAGGGAGTGTTCGGGTGAGTGCACGAAGGCGAATGTCTGCAATAGCAGACAACACACCCAATTTGCCTGAGCAATTTGCCAACCACCTTATCGATTTTTCACCAACTTCGCTCCAATGCGAAAGTGGTGAACGGCAATTAGATTTCGTAGTCAGCCTAGCGACTTGCGGAGGGCGACCGTGACTCACTCTCCGGCCCCTTATTGTGCCCTATCCAGACCTTTCCGACCTCATTCCTGCACAAATGGTATCAAGGGGGCGTCTAATTCAAACCATGTGCAAATCTCCGAAACCATTGTTTCGGGAACAGTGCCTTTAAGAGGGGGTGGGGCATTTCTAAGTGCTCAGTAACTTTAAGGGATGGGGGCGCTGCGTAAGCCGGGCGCCCCAACTGCTATCAGTTAAACAAAAGAGATACTGGAAGCACCTGCCAAAACATGCAGAGCTGAAGAGAAATGACAACACTAGTTTTTGTTGCACAGTAAAGGCCTTCAAATGTCTTTGAATTAAAGTTACTTACGAGTCTCTGTAGAAGAATATATTAGCAGGTAACGGTCTCGGTAGCGGGTACCGTAATGGTGAAGGTGTAGGGGGTAGCACTGGCCTTCGCGTCGGATAAAGTCCTCTTGAATCGAAGTCATCAAACACGCTCACTAATATGACTCGGTCTTCATCTTGGTCCCTGAACAAAAAATTTCGATTTAGGAAATTCTTCATAGGAGGAACTTCGAGTGGATTTGGTAGCAAAGACTCATTTCTTTCAAGCTTTTTCTATAATATTGAGTAAGTTTCAACTGTGAAAAATTTTAGCTATGAAACGGGCCTCGTTTATTGGAGGCGGCAACTTCGGTTATTTTGTTCTCAAATAAGGAATCTCTTTTCGAATGATTGTTTCCGAAAGATTCCATCATTTCGAACCATATTGTATAGTACTCGAAGGATCTCATGATTCAGCCTGAACTTGAGGCTTTGCGACGAGTTGAAGGGAGTTTGCTGAACACGTAACCTGTAGTTGCTATTTTTTCCAAAGCGAGAAGCCGACCACTGGGATGCCGTTTACCTAGTCTCAATCTTTTCCAGACACATCCTATTGGTTTGACCAACAAGTGCCGCTACAGTAACTTCTGTTCCTTCGGACCAAGAACGTTGGAATGGGACACGATGGGAACACTGATGTTGGTAGCAGAAGGTGTCTAACTGTAAGTTTCTATCTCCTGTTCTTCTGTATCAGTAGGGTCAAACTCGGGAGGATGCGCGTGTCAATACCAACGTAAAAAAGGAGGAAACTCCGACGCGAGCCGGGCGATTCGACCGGTAATAAATCAACGAAAAGTAGCTCGTTAAGCGACGTCGTCACTCTTGACGATGGAACGCCTCATCGCATAAGTCTGCTGTCCGATGTGAATAGCATTTGAAAATAAGCGAAACATATATCAGGATAGTGCAAATAATCAGTTACCGATTAAAGTATTTGTGAAATGGTGCCAAAGAAAAAAGTGAGGAAGAAATTCTGGAGGAAGTGTCATTCAATCTATGGCGAACAAACCAGCATCGATTTGAGGCGGTGGGACTAACTGGGCATCCCGAGGGTAAATATTCAGGGCGGGTCGAGTCTGAATGAAGGTTACAGTATTGACTCTGATTTCGTCTAATGCAAAATAGAGATTGAATCGGTCGTCTCCTATTGTTTTCCTTCGCTTGTAATGGATAGAACATTGTCTGAACACGTGAATTGCTTGGACCCGTGTGGTTCGTACCCTTTCGTGAAAGTCGCCATGACTGGGCATGGGAGAGGAGAAAGAAGCATCGCTGTTACGTATTTAGCTCCAGGCTGTCGAAAGTTCAGGCAGAGCAAGAAATAAATGAGAGGGCGAGGGACATGACAGCGAGTAGGTGATTTGTAATAAAACTACCCGAGTTTTCTTCAATAATCCTATTGATTTGACCCTAGCTATCTTACCCAAATTTCGAAGTTGAAAGGCCTGGAGAATATTTTCGAGAAGGGCAAACAGAGTCGAAGACGTAATGTAATTTTTGAGCATTATCACATTATGGGCCTCACTACATGCGTTTTAGGGTTACTCAGTCCGCTAGAAAACTGGACAGCAAGTAACAGCTTCATGGAAGTTACACTGACTCTCTTTCAATGTAAATGGTCAAATTTTACCCTCTCTCTCCCATAACGCAACATGTAAGCGTGACTGGCTAGCGCAGCTGTGTAAGAATTTAAATCGGTCACACTTTGCTAGCATAATTTGGTGAACAAATGACTTGCTGAT